TATTCTTCACTCGAATTTCAATATACTTCATACAAAAAAACTAATTTTTAATATGAAGTTAATTTTTTAATTATCCATCCTCCTCTGTGATGAGACGTTCGCAAGAGGAAAACTGGTCCGCGGACTAACTAAGAGAAGTCGGACGGCAGAAGCACGCGACGTTAACGTGGATCTCCTCGCTGTCTATTTTCGACGAGAACAGGAAGGCCATCCTCTTGATCGCTCGCGCATGCTCTTGGTAGTGGAAAGCCATCGGATATACCTACACGCCGTTGCGTACGATGTAAATACGAATGCCGAATGCTGGCCTCCCGAAAATAATCGCCGCGTCCCGCGGCGATCCCGAGTGCTTTTTCCGCGGCACTCCCGACGCCGCCAAACGTAAAAAATGCATTTCGAGCGAGAACCTCCGACGCAGCGAGGTCCGCTCTCCTACCATGCATCTTCGTAACGGTATCGGTGCCAAAATAAAAAATCGACCTTGCGCCGTGCTTCAATGAACCGAGTGAACAAGTTCTCTTAAGTGGACGTGCGTCGAATAGTGTTAAAACTAACTCACCTCGGCTTCAAACACTTCCATCAGTGTTTTCTAGCTAAGCTGCAAGAGTTTAAGTTAAGTAAATAAATAGCCGCCTACACACGCGCCAGAGTCCAACTAGTTGGTTGGTATGCATACGATATCCATGGAAAAAGGTATTCTAAAATTAGACGACTCCGATATATCTGGAGTATTCGGCGATCCGATTTACAAACTCGTGAAAGAAGAAAGTAAGTACACGTGAAGAGACGATCCCCGAGCTCGGCTCATCGTCAGATCGGGCAAATGGCTGACAATGAGAGGGTCTGCGATCACGATGGTCCGAGGATCGACAAGAACGTGAGATATCGCGAACAAAGAGCGTCGCGAGTCAAACGGAAAGCGGAGGAAGAATTGCCAGCACCGCCGCCGGATCCATGGACGAGTCGTTGGCGTTCGGAGAATTCCCCTAATCAAAGTCGGAACCTCGACGAGGACGAAGACATAATCGCTTACCTGGCGAACATCGGTTCTCAAACGCCCGAGTGTCCGTCGAGAAGTTCAGCGACGGCCGCGTCGAATCTTTGCGTGGAGGACGCCTTCGAGCACCTGGACCGTCTGTGCGCGTTCGCGGAGCAGATTCTCGAGCTGAGGAATCGAAATTCGAGGCTGTTCAAACGCGTGAGGAATTTAGAACGATTGAAAGTGCTGAGGAACGCGAATAACAAATTGGAGAACGCGTATGCTCGTAACAAAGATGCGATTAATTTCTATGAAGAGGACACGGGATTCGCGGAGTCGCTGCTGGACGCGATGCTGTCGACTCCGAGGGAAGCTTTTCAAAAGCGGAACGTTCGGTCGTCTTCGGCCAGGCCGACTAGAGAGAAATTTGACATCGACAAGCAGACGTCGCTGGACGAAATTTCCGGGAATCCGCCGAAGGTTTCTAAGTGGACGAGGGTGAAAGCTGCGTTCAAATGGGAGAGGGCTTACACGAACGACGCGGAGATCGCGGATCCATCGATCGCTACCACAACGACGCTACCTTTGCTATCGTTGAGCACCAAACATCACCGAATCGCAGATGAAAGCAGAGAATCGAACGCTATTGGCTCTTCATCTCTTCTCGTCAACGAACCTTGCAATTTACCGCTGCCCTGCCGACCTTCGTCCGCTTCGTCGTCCAACGATGGATCTTACGATTGTAGGATTTTCATTCATACTCCTTACGATCGTAGATTTTTCAATTGCATTTCATGCGGTGACGATTCGTAAAATTTTTTTAGATTCGCCAAAGACCGCCTCGAATCACTTAGACGATCATCCTTTAAAGAGAAAAGACGACGACACCGTCGAGGACGCTTCGAGATTAGATCAAACAGAATCGATTATTAACGAGGTACACAGTTGCGTCGATCCACGTTTATAGTCCGGGCGCTCGTAACACAAAAAATGGAACAATTT